GCCCTGCGTTAAGTCTGTCACTACAGCAAGGCCCCCCCGGCCCCGTTCCCTAGCGATGCTCTGCACCCCGCCAGCCCTCCACGGGTGGAAGAGTTCACCTCTGGGGAGCTGCTCCAAAACCGCAAAGGAACCAGAGCTGCCCTCCCCATGGATGTGCCAGCTCCCGCGTCACTTTACCCACCAGGATGACCGTGCCCAGCATGGGCTTCACCCACGCCAGCCACAGGCCCCCAGTGAGCCATGCGGGTGTCCCAAAGCAGACCCACGCTGGTGCCAGAGCACTTCCCAGTCGGACACCCTGTGCTCTCCAACCTCCTGGAGCATCTTCCCAGGCGATGCTGTGTGGGGGTGCCCACAGGAGTAGCCCATGCTGGAAGAACTTGCTCCATGTTTGGCACAGAGACACGTCACCCTGCCGGCAGCGTGGGCATCGCTGTCATGGCCTCTGACAGCAGCACGAGTCCCAGCTGCGTCAGCGTACACCGCGACACACTCGTGGGTCTGGGGGAGTGCGAGTGGGCCAAGCAGAGCTGGAAATGCGGCTGGCCGGAGCTCCAGCAGACCCTCTGTGCAGCACTGCTTAAGGAGAGATTAAATGGAAATTATTTCTATTTATTGTAATATTTATCAAGGTTTAGTAAATAATTTATACTGAGCCCTCCTTGATTTCCTTGGGGGCCAGCGTTCGGTTCTGGTGAATTAAAGTTTAACGACACATGACAAGCTGGGAGGAGGCAGAACAGGCGGACGCTGGGCACGCCGGCCCCGGGGCTTGGCCCGTGCCACCCTGGCTCGGGTGGGAGTGAGGTGCACCCGGCCATGGACTCCTGGGGAACCTCTGCAAATCCTTTTCTTCTGCCTTCTCCAGTCCCCCCAGTTTACAGCATGCAGAGCAGATCCCAGTGTCTACAAACAGCACGGTGTTCATTGGCCTCTTGGATCCGTAGCGGGTGCTGTGCGTGGCACGTTCGTCGGAGGTGAGGGGGGTGCAAAGGCACCGAGGGAAGTGGCAGAGTCGGCAAGGGCATTTGGGCTGGACATCGGCACGGTGCTTGCATGAGCAAAGGGAAATAGCTGATCCTGCGCCAGGTATTAGAGCTGCTCCTGCCCCAGTATTGGCAAACTGGGGCCTGTCAGCATGCTGGGTGACACCAGCCCTGACTGGGCACCGACCCATGCACTCGTACCCAGGATTGGAGCAGCAGAGCTGGAGGACCGAAGAGAAGCTGTGGGACATGGGAGCCCCCATGCTCCCTCCTGCCAGCCCCAGTCCTGTGTGCCCTCCAAGCTCAACAGCTTCACCCCTGCAGCTTTTGGCCGGGCTCACTGCCGGGCCGGACAGCGCTGGCTGCCGTGGCGGGGCCAGCTGAGCAGTCGTGCACGGCATCTGTGAATCGGTGTGATGTCCAAGCCCCACGGCACCACTGCATGCAGCTGGCAGAGCTCTGGGGCTGCCCTCGCCTTACCTGCGTCTGCTCGGGTACCCATGGGCCTCTCCTGGGGGACTTCAGTTTGCTGGGTTCAGTCATTTTTCACATGGGTCAACTCTCAAGGGTTCGGGGACTTGGCAGGCTTGAAAAGCTGCTGGGCCAAGGGGAAGGGCTGGGACGGGCAAGCTCACAGCTCCTCTCCTCTGTGGAAAGAACAGACACCCTCAGGCATGCCCACGGGCAGCTGGCACCCGCCTGCCGCCGAGCGTGCCCATGCTGCTGGGACACCCGGGGACGTGCCCATGGTCCCAAGCAGGAGAGTTCCTGTGGATGTGTCCCCCTCCCCTTCACAGCCACCGAGGTCCTGGCTGAAGAGTCTGGTGGTGGCATCACCAGTGGCCGCCTCTGGGGCCAGCCATCCCTGGACACATCTCCCTCCCTCTTCCCCTCCCAGCACCCCATCAGACGGCAGTCAGGTTGGGAGCCGAGGCCCGCAGGGCTGCCACACACCTCGTCTGGGACTTGTTGTCCTTCTCCTCCGCCTTGAGGTGGCACTGGCAGGTGGAGGCCTTGCTGTAGTTGACGGAGCGCTTGGCGGACTTCTTCCACTTCCGTGCACTCCGTACGACCCGCTTGAAGATGAGGTAGAAAATCTCACAGACGGTGAGGACGATGCAGATGGCAGAGGCTCCGACCATGAAATAGGTGAAGACTCTTTTCTCGGTTGGCCGAGCGATGTAGCAGTCTACCGTGTTGGGGCAGGGGTCCACGTTGGAGCATTTGACCAGCCGTGGCAAGTCGAAGCTGTCCCACATCTTGTGGAGGAGGTAGAGGAACAGGATCTCTATGACAAGCTTGAAGAAGAGGCTGAGCAGGTAGGTCCACCACAACCCACCATGCTTCTTGCCCGTGTTGCTGTAGAGTTTGGGGCAATTCTCCCCGTTCTTCTCCCGGTTCTTCCTCTCGCGGTCCTCCCGGTAGGCCACGTGCATGATGACCAGGAGGGAAGGGCAAGTGACAAAGATGAGCTGCAGGGCCCAGAGACGGATGTGGGAGATGGGGAAGAAGTGGTCGTAGCAGACATTGGTGCAGCCCGGCTGCCGCGTGTTGCAGTCAAAGTCCTTCTGCTCATCTCCCCACACGCGCTCGGCTGCCACCACGTAGACCAGCACGCGGAAGACGAAGACAACGGAGAGCCAGATGCGGCCGAAGGCCGTGGAGTACTTGTTGACCCCGCTGAGCAGTGCCTGCAGCGTTTTCCAATCCATGGCGGCTGGCGGAGGCCAGAGTCACCCAACCTGGAGAAACAGCAGCAGAAGTGGTGGGTGAAGAAGTGTGGTGGGAGACAGCAATGGGGCAGCTCATCTCTCGCTGCACTTCTCCTTGACCTGCCAGAACCTCTCCCTCACCACGTTACACTCATTTGGGGTGGGGGGGACCATCCCACTCATGTACAGTAAAGCCCAGCCCCGCACTCTCCCGGTGATAGTTGGGGTGACTCAACCTCTCTGCACTTCCTTCTGACAGAGGCTTTGCCGTAACGGATGAGGCAGGTGGGGATGGCTGTGAGGGGTGCTGGCACATCAGCAAAGCAAAGGTTCGTGTGGACACCAGCCCGGCGAGCTGGCAGGTCCTTTGGGACAGGGGCAGGAAGGGACCCTGCAGCGCATTTCCATCCCCAACTGCGTCTTCCTTCTGCCCCGCTGCCCACAGGGGCACGTGCTGACGGTCGCCAGGATGGATCCCCGGTGCCCTGCCAGCTCCCCCTTGGCTGCCGAGGTGCTGGCTCCCCGTGGGGCGCAGCACCGGACTGGCACGGCTCCTGGTCTGCGCTCCCCGGCCTCATCCTCTTTCCTCCCCAGGGTTTTGTGTGGCTCTGCCATGCTCCCCTGCACGCCCTCTGCTAGCATGTTTTGGGGACGGGTGGGGACCTTTACCATTAGGGCATCCTAGGACCTGAGATTCCTCCCATTCCAGGGGATCTCAGGTTTGGTCCCAGCCTTCCCTAAGCCTCAGTTCCATGGGTAAAATGGGCTAAACCAGCCGCCGAGCTTTGCTAATGCTGAGAGCCGAAGGAGAAGCGGCTGCTGCAGAGCTGGGATGCTGGGACACGCCAGGGACTGGTTTTCTCTCTCTCGCAGGTGACGCCCAAGGCAGCCCCAGCACGGGTGAAAGTGGGGCTGCTGAAAGTGAGAGTCGATGGACCAGGAGGGAAGGACAGGTCACCAGGATGAGCTGCAGGGCCCAGAGGCGGATGTGGGAGACGGGGAAGAAGTGGTCAAAGCAGACATTCCTGCAGCCCGGCTGCTGCGTGTTGCAATCAAAGTCCTTGTGGTCATCGCTCCAGACGCGCTCGGCTGCCACCACGTAGACCAGCAGGCGGAAGATGAAGACGAGGGAGAGCCAGATGCGGCCGAAGGCTGTGGAATACTTGTTGACCCCGCTGAGGAGCCCTTCGAACACCCCCCAGTTCATGGTCCCCCGATCCCGTCAGCTAGCCTGGGAGGAGAGAGAGGATACAGTGACACCGAAGAAGCAGCAACAGGTACCCATGGGAGCACCTGCCT